AAACTTTTACATCTGCTATGATGGTTTACTATGATAGTAAAACAGACCGGACTGGCGTCTGGGACTCTGGGTCATAATTCGACCGGTTGAACCAGCCGGTCCGGTTTTGTCTATTGACTGTTGGGTACAATGTAATAAAGACGAGAGTTTCAGAAAGCGACTTCATTTTTTGCTTTCATCTCCCAACAATGGTTGGTTCCTATTTCTCTTACCATACAAACCTTCTTCTATTCACGGGTTCGGACGCGTCTACTCTCACATCTGACGCAGTGATTTGGGTTCTCCGGCGATCGAGTTAAGAGTATCGTCGGACTCCAGGTACATTTTGCCACTAACTTTACGACCATGAAATCCTTTTTAAGTTACTCGATCGTGAGGTATTCGATTCGTTTCGATATCTAGGGTTACGAAAAATTGGGGATTTTCATTACTAAGAGGCTTCTGATTTAGATTCTTGTATTCGATTAGTTCCAAACTTTAGCGTTACGCGAAATTTGAGATTTTTATTACAAAGAGATTCTGATTTTGATCCAGAACTAGCCATTGTGTTTTACGGAGAAGGGCAGAGTTGCTCTTGTCTCTGAATTATACGAAATTGAGAAGTATATACTTTCCATTTTATGATTATGTTCTTCAAATTATTATTATGCTTTCCTAAATCAGATGATATGAGCTACAAAAATCAGGCTAATGCTTCGGTTCCTGTAAGCTCCTTAGCAGATTCAGACTCAGTTTTGTACTTTTGATCCTGGAGCTTTCAGTTTTACGATGTTTTACTGTGATTCCACTTAGAATCTATCATTTGTGATTGAGAACTATTTGTTTTTTCAGTTACTATTAGCTCAATTTACTGTTCTTGATGGAACTCAAAATCAGTCATGGATTTCATTTTCTTAGAGCTTGATTTAGCTATCAATCTTGTCTACCAATTGATTGTTGTGAATGGATGCTTTTTTGTTTCCTGCTTGAAACAGGAGATGTTGGGAAACTCCTTAGCTTCACCTTTGGCAACATTGGCTTCTGTCAAATGCTACCATCACTCTGCAGTACGTGACAAATCTCCTTATTGGTTGATATATATATACTTCGTGGTCTTTTCTGAAATCTCATGGGACGTACATTGGTTTTTTATTGCAGGCTGATCTTGTAACATATACTAATGTTTTACCATTGAGCCTGAACTCGTCGTCGTATCATGGTGTGATTGGAGGAGTAAGGATGACTCGTGTTTCTCGAAACAAGTGGAGAGTGGTTTGTTCAACAACACAAGTGGAAACCTCTAGTGAAAATCCAAAGACATGGGAAGAATGCAAAGAAGCCTTGTCTTGTTTTGATTTCAGTGTAGAGGAGAAAGACAAGATACTAGGAAAAGCGTTTGGTCATGTCCACTCGCCTTACTGGACCGAAGAACGAGTGAAAGAGACTCCAAAGGTGGAAACTTTGAATCAAATACTGGAGTTTCTTAGAGGTCTCGGTTTATCAGACGAAGATCTGCACAAGGTGATGAAGAAATTCCCGGAAGTACTTGGTTGCAGCCTAGAAGAGGAAATGAAACCCAACATTGGGATCTTGGAAAACCAATGGGGGATTACGGGTAAATCACTGCGAAATCTATTGCTTCGGAATCCGAAAGTGTTGGGATACAATGTGGATTGTAAAGGAGACTGTATGGCTCAATGCACTCGGTGTTGGGTTCGGTTTTAGAGTCATTCACTAGTTCATTGGTTCTTCAAGTAGAGTGATCGTTGCTACCTATATTTGAGTCTTAGCTTAGAATTAGGGTAAAGCTGATTTGTATCTATTCCTCCTCCTTTTTGGTGTCACCACAACCACTTAAAAAATAATCACTGATCTTTGATTAAGGACAATAATCTGAGTGTGCGACTCTCTACAATATTTGTGAAGACAACAAAAAAGTTTATACAATCAAGTGAGCTATATGATTTATAGCCAATGAACACTTGGTATAGATACACAAATTTACAGGCTATTAAGTAAATAACGGTGTGAAATCACTTGATGTTAATATGCATAAGTGATACGTGTAAAAAGGAAACGAGTGATTCGTATGATGAAATGTGTTAAGAAATTGTGAGAGTTTGTTCTTTATCTGCCACCAAATCTTCTCTATTACATTGGAATTGTATGTATCATTTCCAAAAAGATGGTCATTGCCATTGGGAGGCATGTGGATTCTACTTTGTTGGCATGTTCTCAACCTTCCGCGTCGTCGTTCAGTACACGTGGTAACACCCACCACACTGACACACACTTGCATCTCCAAACACATTATTCACACCATATTTTAATGCGATTTTACCATGTTGTAATTTTTATCTTCAATCTATATATGTAGATAAATCCATATTATTTCGGATTTAGAATGTTTAGGTGATCTTAAAAATAAACAAATTTGCCGCTGTCAAAAACTCTCCAGTTTGGATGGTCATTTTTGTGCATCGATAAAGTTACCAATATAAGGTTAAAAATCATTATTTGATAAAAAAAAACGCATTACTAGACTTATAATTTTGTTTGCAACACAGATTTTGTATAGTCGATAGCCATATATGTAACGTGCTCAATCGTTTATCTAATTATATAGCTCATGAAAAACGACGGCCATCCACCTGGTTAGTCCGTATGTGGATTAATAATCCCATTTTTTCAGTGATATAAGAAAACAAAGAAGAATGTAATTTGTAAACAATAAAATATTTAGATAGCCACTATAAGTAATAATACCAAAGAGGTTAAATACAGACACATATAGCCAAAATACCAAAAAGACAATTCCAGAGAAATAGTTTCCATATATATAAATAAATCCCGCATAGCTCATAAGAAATTGCATGCCTTTTTGAACATGGCGGTCTTCCGAACTAGACTACTTGTGTTGCTAATCCTCTTCTGTCTCACCACATATGAGGTTCTTCATAACTTTATATCTTTAAATTTTCTCCAAATTAAAAGATCTCACTTACTTTACCATTGAATCATATTATTATAACGTACGTGTATGACATGATGATGATCGATGATCGTTTTCTTCAGCTTCAGCTTCACGCTGCTGAAGGCGCAGAGGTTGGTGACGGCACAGTAAAAATCGGTATGCAAATAGTTTGATTGGTGTTACTTCTAACCTGACTATCATTTCTTACCGCTATTTAGCACTATAAAAAAAATAGGTACCGTCTTGTGTCACCAGACAATATTTATATGAGTACGCATGCACATATATATAATTTGATAATTTTGACGGGTTTGAAACGGATTGACAAACATGTTTATGAATATATGTATTTTGTGTAGACTGCAGCGGTAGATGCAAAGGGAGATGCAGCAAATCGTCGAGGACGAATCTGTGCTTGAGAGCGTGCAACAGTTGTTGTTCACGTTGCAACTGTGTGCCACCTGGTACCGCCGGAAACCACCACCTCTGTCCTTGTTACGCCTCTATTACCACTCGTGGTGGCCGTCTCAAGTGCCCTTAGAAACATATATGTACTAGTAATATACATGCAAGTGATGTATGTGTGCGAGACTCTATGAAGTTAGCACTTTTTTACGTTTTGAGGGTCATGTTAAATTACTTTTGAGTTGTATCAAACCGTATGTCTATTCAGCAATCAATTTCGGGTGTTTAATAAGTGATCGTTACTTTAATTTTACCATCTTCTACATGATATAGGCCTATAACTGTGTTGTTCTATCAAATGTCTTGGTGTACAAAATTTGGAAGGAATTATGCATGTAGTTTCAGGACTTGACTAAAGGTTGAATTAATCCCACATCTCGACAGAAAGGCAAATTTGCCGATATTATGTTGGAAGCTCTTAAACATGTTTTAATTAATTACATGTGTAATTAAATCTCTTAAAACATTGCATTACTAAAAAAAATCTCTTAATTAATTACATGTCTAAAAGAGTTGAATTTTTTTATTTTTTTTTTGAAGTNTCATCAGAATGTCATTTTTAAAAAATTATTTACTCATTATATTATTTATATTTGGGTTAACTATGTTGTATTAGTTTAGTTGTGAGAGTTTAAAGTTTTTTGGGACAATTACAAAAATGTTACTTTTTATGTGTATATTTACAAAAATGCCATTTAGGAGTGTCTATTTTCAAAAATACCACTAATTATAGATTTATAAAGCCTATATCTTAAAATTTTAAACCCTAAAAAATGTTTTGACACCTAAAACTCTCTAAACACTCAAAACTAAACCCTAATAGAACATAATTAACTCAAACAAAAATAATATAAAGAAAAAAATAATTTGAAAAAATAGCATTTTTGTAAAGATTTCAAAAATGTGGCATTTTTGTAAAGTAGCACTTGAAAAGTGGCATTTTTTTATATTTCTCAAGTTTTTTTAAGATCAAAA